GGGAAGGGGATAGAGTTCTCAAGTGACCTACTTTCAGTTTAAGTCTAGTCTTCATGGACTTAAAAGCAGCATGTCCAGGGAACTGGAGAATCCAGAAGTGCAAGGACATACTTCCTTAGACACCTCACCCTGATTGAGGTTAGAAGCCCCAACACAGATCCTTTTGAGGTCTCAGTGGATCAGTAAATGTTCACTCTCTGAATTTCTATGACTTTTGGATTTTGTCCCAAATCAATGGGAAGCCATTGGAGATTTTAAGCAGGAAAAGTGGCATGGTCTTTATTTTTATAGCCACCTTGGTTATGGAAACATTCAGGTGAAATATTTCTCCCCTAAATGTGAAAACTGACTTTTGCAAGGAGCCTGGCAAGAAGGAGAAGTATCATCTCTCTTTTACCCACACACCCATTCCACATTTATTGAGTTATCATGCACCAGGAACTCTGCTAAGAGCTGAGGAGACAGTGGGAGTGTAAGTCTAAGGCAGCATTTCTCAGTCTTGGCATTATCGACAATTGGGCTGGATAATTCTCTGTTATGGGGGGCTGCCTTGTGCATTGGAGTATGTTAAACAGCATCTCTGGCCTCTACCCACTAAATGTAAGTGGCACCCCCAGTCCTGACAAAAAAAATATATCTGCAGACATTGCCAAATGTCCCCTGCGGGGCAGAATGGAATGACCCTTGGCTGACAGCAACTGGCCTAAGAGGCACTGAGACATTTATGCAGTCATCTAATACAGGCTTCCTGGGGAAGGTGGACCTGCGTTTTGTTTTAAAAGGTAAGAATTAGATGGCCCAGGGAGTTCCAGGAACAGTGCTGAATGAGCAAGGCTCAGGTGCTGTGCATGGGCTGCCACGAGACTTTAGGGTCACTGGGTGGCAGAGCCTGGGTGGCTGAATAGTGGGAGAGAAGGGTGGAGGAAAGATAGGCGGGGTTAGACCATGAAGGGCCTCAAAGGTCAAAGCCAAGAACTAGACTGTCTGGAATGGTGTTCCTTTAGCTGGGCTGGTCTCTGGGAAAGCAAGTCAGCTTTACCCTGGAGACCCACCTTCCGTAATTACTTGGAGAGTGACTCATTCCCTGTTCTGTTTAACTTACTGTGAAGCTGTTTCCTCTAGGGATAGACGGTGACATGTGGCTTTGAGTACCTCAGATGGTAGGTAGGCTTGTGGTGAGTTATACCTGGGAGGTGCATGCTCTCAGCCTGTTGAGAGTGAGACATAGCTGTTGTGGCCTCAAGTGCCTCCTTAGGCAGGTGTGGGGGGCTGTGGGCAAAGCCCAGGGTTAGGGTTTATAATTTAGATGCTAGCTTTGCCCCAACAACAACAACAACAACAACAACAAATAAGAATAATGGTGATTTAGATGCTACTATTGCCCATGCATACCAGGCACTATGCTAAGTGCTACTCACATCATTTCTTTTACACAAACTCAAATTTTCCTTGATCTCAAGGCTTGTCCTGAGAATCAAATGATGTCTCCAGGAGATGGAGCTTCATTCCTGCCATCCTGAGAGTAAACCTGATTGAGCGACTCATTTTTACAGAGTATGGTAGAGAAAGAAAAATAGTAACCTGGCAGGTGTTACCCTAACCAGGTGATAACATCCCCAGGGGTGTCACGTCCATAACATTTGCCCCCTGATATGAGACAAAGGTTCCTCAAACCCATAACCCCTGCCTCATTATGAGAAAATATCAGACAAACCTAGATTGGGGGACACTGTACAAGACACCTGGCTAATACTTCTCAAGTCTGTCAAGGTCATGAACAATAAGGAGAGACTGAGAAGTTGTCACAGACCAGGGAGATGGGAGAGGCAGGATGATTAAAGATAATGTAGTATCCTCAGCTGGATCCGAAAACAGAAAGGGAACCCTAATGACGAAAACCAAAACCCAAAACAACCTGGTGAAATCTGAAGTGTTTGGAGTTTGGTAAATAGTATTGTACCAATGTTGGTCCCTAAATTGTGACCAATGTACTGTGGTCATATAAGATGTTAATGTGAAGAAGCTGGGTGAAAGGTACGAGGGGAACTGCTCTGCTCTCTTTGTAAATCTACAATTTCTAGATGTGGTGACTCAATGGTTTATGCTAACTACGGAAAGCAATCAGTAACAGCGTCATGATTATACCGAAGAATTAAAGCCGATCTTTAATATCTGGTTTTTGGCTGGTAAAGTGTGCTGATAAGAAGCCAGTCATAGAATTTTAGGCTTTTGTAGAAGGAAAGGACTCATTGCAAAACATTTTTTCAAGTCAGAATGCTCATATCTGATCCAGGAAAAACATTTTTTGCCTGATTTAGAATTACTGGTAGCTTATTTTAAACCAGGAAAAAACAACTGAGCACGAGTTTGCTGTTTTAGAGCAGTTTGTGAAAATAGGGTGTAAAGGTGTTTTCATTTTCTTGTTATTTTAAATATTATCGTACAGAGCTGTTATTAATGCCATTTTTATGGGAAAACCTTAAAAATCACCCCCAGATATTGACAATAAGCACATCGAATAACAAAATGTCTTTGCTATATTAAACTTTTGCTCTTCATGCATCTGTAACTTAATTTTCTTTTTTTCTCCATGCCTTTTTTTTTTAAATTAAAAATTATTGGGGTGGCATTGATCAACAAAATCCAATAAGTTTCCAGTGTATAATTCAACAGTATGTTACATATATTTTGCATTATGTGTTCACCACCCAGAGTTAGATTTCCTTCCATCACCTCATGTCTCTTTTTTTTTTTAATTGAGCTATTTATTTTCCTTTAAAATATAAAATTTTACCTTTGGTACAACTAAAAATATTAAAAGATTATTTTATGATTATTATTATTTAAAAAATCAAATGGCGTGATGTGGCAGTGGGTTGGTGATCAGGGGCTTAGGCTTTGAGCTCAAACCCTGACCGTGTGACCTTGGACAAGAACGAAACTCCTTCGGGCCCCAGTTTCCTCATCTGGAGAGAGGGCAGACACTAGTGCCGATCTTAGAGAATCGTGGTGATGTGTTAATGGGGAAATCCATTTAAAGCGCGTGGTGTTTGGGATATTGTAAATGCTTGGTGGTGAGACGTTACCCATTATTATTATTATTTGTGCACAATCTTCTGTGACTGTAAAGTGACGTTCAAGAAATTAGTCCTCGTTGGGACCCTGGTCTTTGAAGGTCATGTGAAAGGGGTTTATTGACCTGCTGACTATGGTAAGTCACTTTCTTGGGTCTTCCTTGCTGCAGGGTAAACTAGCTCAGGGGTGAACTTTTTCTGTCAAGAGCCCTACAGTAACTATTTCCAGCTTGCGATCACACGGCAAGATACTTCACCCTGCAGCGTGAGAGCAGCCGCTCGCTTATGTGACGTCTATGGCCGGTTCTGGATCTTTGGCTTCCCTTCCTTCTGCCAGCCTCACACCTGCCCCTCGAATCAGATGCCTGAGACAGGGTTCTGAAGCCTTGATCCTGGACCCCCAGGAAGGCCCCCTGTATCCAGCAGACCTCAGAACTCCCAGAAGAGCAAAATCAGGAAGTCACCTGTTGCCTAAAAGGACTTCAAAAAAAAGAAAAGAAAAAGGGACTTCAAGACATTGAAGTTGTGAGTGCACTTTGCACTTTGCAGAGTGCGTGCCAGACCCGGCTGAAGACGGCTTGTGTGTCAGAAAGCAGGTTGGAGCTTGTCGGATGGAAAGAAAGTTCAAAACGGGACACTCCTGACAACAGCAGCAGGACACCCACAGCCCTCCCTCTGTGAACATGGCACTCTGGGAAGAGGCAGGAGTATGGAAGAAAGAAAGCGCCCACATATGGAGCCAGGAAAGGCAAGAAATACAGAACCTGTGGCTCAGGTCCTGCAGACACCTGCCTCTGGGCGGAGGTGAGTGCTCACTGCACAGTCCACTCTGGGTCCTGTCCTCCATCTCACTGGAGCCAATCTTGCTCCCAGGAGACAACTGGCCGTGTCTGGACCCATGTCATGGGAGGGAAGATGCTGGCATCTAGCCGGTGAGGCCAGAGATGCCGCTCAACACGGTACAATTCACGGAACAGCCCCCTCACCCGTCCCCCAGCAGTGCCAAGGCGGGGACCTTGCGCCAGCCCGCATCCTGCCTGCACAGTCCACGTCAGAATCCCCCCGACAACCTGCACGCACGCATTTTCTGACACGCGGTGGCCACAGCCTCCTCTCCAGATCCCTACACAGTGGGGCTCGTTTTCAAAAAGGCAGAGTTCTCAATCCCAGAAAAGACCAGAGCCATCTCCTTCTAGGGCCTCTTTTCTGAGCAGACACCCTGACCCTTACTCCCCAGAGAAACCTGGGAGCCAGGAAGCTGCCGCTATGGAGTGAATTGTGTCCCTCATCCCCAATTCATAGCTTGCGGTCCTGATCTCTGCAGTATCTCCGGAGGTGGCTTTATTTGGAAATAGAGTCATTGCTGATAAAGTCAGTTCGCATAAGGTAACACTGGAGTAAGGTGGACCCCTAATGCTATATGACTGGTGACCTGACACAAAGGCAAGTTGGGACACAGACACATACACAGGGGTGAGGACTGGAGTTCTGCCAGAGGGCAAGGAACTCGCAGAAGCCAGGAGAGAAGCCTGGACTGGTCCCCTCCCTAGAGCCTTCAGAGGGAGCCCGGCCCTGCGACACCTTGAGCTCAGACTTCTCCAGGACAGTGAGACAGTACATTTCTGTTGTTTAAGCCACCCAGGGTTGTGGTACTTTGTTACACAGCTCTGTCTAACGAATACATTGCCCAAGTCCAGATTTTACAAGAGAATTTTTGCAATGACAAATGCTAAGATGCAGGCCCTGAGCCAAACGAACGGTCCCTGCCCTTAGGGGCCTGGTGCTCTCTAGGGAACTGAGGTTGGCTCACCCTTGGCAAAGATGAAATGGGATGAGAAAGCAAAGGAGGCCATGGGAGCCATGCAGACGAAGTAAAGGTGAGGAAGTGGCTGCCGTCCATGAGGACAGGAGGACCACCAGACTTACCAGAACTCAGAAAGGGTTTGCTGCACAGCGGGCAGTTGGAGTGGCTAAGGAAGGTTCCTTGTACCAGCTGGTGGCCGTTGACACATTCCTTCCTCTCTTGAGCATCCTGACCTTTGTCCTTTAGATGCACTGGGCACTTCCCCTGTGGGGCACAGAGCTGGACTTAGAATGCCTGCTGTATCCAGACCCTGTGACAAGCTGGGGATGGCAGAGGGACCCCCGCCCCTCGCCCAGATCCCTGACCTTCTCCTTCTGCCTGGTGACTCGACTGCGGAGGGAGCTGAGTCTGCGCTTCACCTTGGTGCCCCTGTCGCTCCTCTCTATCTTGCTGGCACTGTCCTCGCTCCTGGGGTGGAAAGATCAGTGAAGACGGGGTGGCAGGCCCCGAGGGCCACGGTGAGCCAGTCCGTGGTGAGACGCTCCTGGAATCCACCTGGAATCCATCTCCCTCTGGCCTCCTCATCCTGTTTCACCCCTAATGTGGTCCCTAACTCTCTCTCCCTTCTCTCACTCACTCATTCACTCAACAAACATTTGCAGCTGTTTGCAAAGTTCCTGGAACCCCAGGGACTCGGTTTGCAGGGGAACACAGACATGGTCTCAAGCTTGAGGTCCCTTGATGGCCCGGCCTGGAAATCTTGGCTCTGTCCACCTCTGCCTCCTCCCTCCGATTTACCACCCCGGATCCCATCTAATCAGCCCGTAAATCCTGCCCATTCTTCCTGTGGGATTTTCCTCAAACTCGGCTCCTCTTTCCCTCTGACACTTCAGTCCCGGATCACCTTCATGCCTCTCCCGGGTTACAAGCACTTAATAAATACTTATGAAGTCAGTGACAAACAAACCCAGCCCCAGCAGAATCTGTTCCCTGGAGCGAGATGCTACGCCGCCAGGCTGCACCCCCACCCGCCCCGAGCCCTGTCTGTGCTCACCGTCATCCGTCAGTCAGTCACGAGAGAGCTGTGCTTCTCGGCTTTGCCGAGGTGATCTGGCCTCCGCTGACTTCCCTCCCAGCCCCTCCTCCCAGTTCCCCTCTGACACCATTCTCTGGACGGTAGTTCGCCCGGAAGGCACGGTTTTCTTTCCCTGAGCCTCATCACGTGTTGGCAAACTCCTGCTCTTTCATTGGCACCCAGCTCAAGCTGTCACCTCTTCCAGGAAGTCTTCTGCCCTCCCAGGGTGTGTGAGGAGCCCACTTCCACCCCTACTGTTGTCCTCAGTGGTTCCAGTGAGAGGATGGGGGCCCCAGCTCCTGTCCCCAGCTCGGGTCCAGGCACGGAGGGCCACTGGTGTATTGTGTGTTCGGAACCAGTGCCCCCCCCCCCCCGCCCCCCGCTATGGTAGCTCTGAGAACTTACTCTGACAGGAACTCAAACCAGGTAAGGTTTGAGTGGGCTCCTCTGGGGTTGACGGACAGGTGAGCCCTCTGCCGGGCCCTGCAGGACCAGAGGGGACAGACACGTGGGTCAGCAGACCCGCCCCCCCACCAACTGTCCCCTCCTGCCCCTCTCCCTCAAGGCTTCTGTAGATAAGTATGCGCCTGGTGCCACATCTGGGAGCCCGCCCTTCCTCCACACATGGGCTCGTACAGGTGGCCGCTGGGGCGGGTGCCCCAGCAGAGGGCAGTGACATGCCTTGGTCAAACAAAATCGGCTTGTCGGGAGATTTTCTCTCAGATGTCAGTATCTGGGAAAGAGGCATCTGTTCTCATCCGGACAACCTCACGACTACTGGCAGTGCGCTCCTCCCTAGCTGATGTCCCCTGGCCTCTCACTTACCGGCCTCTTCTCCCACCTCTGCTGTGACCCCTGCAACCTCTTTCCAACACCTGCCCCCACACCTGTCTACTCCCCTACCGGTCACCACACCTGTCCTCTCATACCTGTGCCCCATACCTGTGCTGTATCTCTCCCCCATGCTTCCCTCCACACTTGTCCTCCACACCTGTCCGCCCACCCCTGTTTCCCAAAGCTGTCCCCTTTTCCACTCACCCATGGTACTGTCGAAGTTCTTGCAGCACTTGCTGGACGATCAGCCTGGGGGCGATGCCAGCCAGGATGAGCTGGGATCACCTCACCAGGCCCCGGGTTCTGATGCAGACCCTAACCAGGAGCCCCGGCCCCTCTCCTAATACTACATTGGAACCTTTCTGAGGGACCTAGGTCCCTCCGATGGGAGAAGGGTGGCATGAGAGAGAAGACCAAGCTTATGGGGGCCTGAGAGGGACCGTGACTGGAATTGCTAGCAAAGCTACAACCTGTGCCCCTCCCCGCCGGCCCTGACCCCTTGGATGTCCACTGGGGTCCCTCTCCCACCTCGGGGCAGACACTCACACATGATCGGGCTCCACGTGATCCTTTTCCATGCACTCCAGCTCTGGCGGCTCCAGGCCTGGAAGCATCCCCACCCCAAGAGGCACAGGCATGAGGGGGCTCTGGGGTAGAACCAGCTCACAATGGGCCCCCTGACCCACCACTGCTGGACTGGAGACCAAAGAGAGGGGGCTTGCCACTCTCAGGGGGAGAGGTGCAAAGAGCGCAGACAGCAGGGACGGGGTGTCCTCAGCTTCTCACCAGTGCTCACGACATGTTAAGCGCTTTGCACGTGCGCGTGCGGTGAACACTCACTTGGCCTTAAGGAGACACTTATCGTCTCATTCCTACAGAGAGAGCTGTGCAGAGGCTGAGACTTGCTAGAAAGTGGTAGATTGAGGTTTAGCCTGCAGGTCTGTCTGGCACCAGAGAGACACAAGCTCTTAGGACAGAGATTCAGAGACAGACAGGGAGATAGAGAGTCAGCGAGAGCCCTGAGGGGTGGGGGGGGGGCAAGGTCATTGCAGTGTGTTGTCTGCCCTGGCTGGAGGCCCCCGGGGAAGGGGAACTCTAGATGCTGGAGGGCCCTCCCACTCTAGAAACACCCAGGGCCCCCAGGGGACCCCCAGCCTCCTCCACCAGCTCCTCTTCCTTCTCTGGGGTTCAGCTGGGACCTCATCCAGGGCCCCCTCCAGCCAAAACTCCCTACTCTGCTTGTTTGAATGGGGGAAACCCACAGGCCTGGCTACCTTGAACAGCTGGAGCGGGCGCCTCCAACGCCTGAGAGATTTCCAGGAACTTGATCTCGTCGGAAGACATGGGAACGGACCGTGACCTCACTCTTTTCTCAGGTCTGTCACATTCCTGAAGGGAATAACCGTCTCTCTGAGCCAGGGTGGTACTCCAGGCTGCAGGCAGGCTCCCAGACCGAAGGTCCCCTGCCCACACTCTGGCCACAGGCAAGGGCTCCCCACAGCCACAAGGCAGAGGGATTCCCCTAGAAGCCTAGAGCTAGAGCCATATCTTCCCCAGCCACTGGCTGCATTCCCGGCACAGGGGCCCTCTACACCCACCCGTGAAACTCTGAGCTACAGGTTCCAGCATGTCAGGAACCCTCAGTCCCCAATCCCGCCCCAGGCCGTAGTCTCTCACTGGGCACAGGCTGTGGCTTGAGCATGCATCCTCCAGCATGGGCTGGGACCCCAGACTTGAGACGAGCCCTCCCGGTTGCAGACTCCAATCACAGACAGGGCTTCCAGTGCCAAGCTGCCGAGGCGGCCCCCTGCCCCGCAGTAGGTGGGTTGCACTTGCGGGCTGCCCTGGATCCCGGCAAAGAACCCTCATGCCTGGGCTGGACTCTCAGGACTCAGCGACTCCCCTGTTAGTTGTGGGCTTTGGCGTGGACATCACTGCCGTGACAGGTAAGTCCCGCCTGTGTGGGCAGGTGTCGGCTCCTGGGCCCAGAGGTGTGTGATTGTCCGGGGTGGCCGCGGGTTGCACCCACCTTGCTTGGGTGCTCCGATGGGGTTCCGTCCCCACTCAGACCCTCCTTAGTCCAGGCCTGCAGACCCTCTCCAGGCAGGTTCAGGGCAAGACTGGTTAGTGTCCGAGGGAGACAGGGCCCCTCATGCATAGCTGAGGCGTCAAGGCTGAGCCTGGTGGAAGAGGGGAGGGAGTCAGGGCTTCAGCGGATCTTCCTCGCCCGGCTGGACCCCGTCCCAGCTCCAGTATCTGGGGGCTTGGGACGACCCGCAGGTCAGGCTTCTGGGGCAGGGCACAGAGAGGGGTCCAGGTCTCCCTGCCTCAGAGGGGTGGTCAGTGGGTGGGGAACCTGGTTAGGGGATTTGCTGAAGCTTCTATTTTTACATGGACTCCTGGGCTGTTCGGAGTGACTTGAGAGGGGTGGAGGGGGGTTGGTGGGAGGGTGGCTAAAACACCCCCTCCACTCTTTGGGGCTGCCACTGTGCTGTGTGTGGACTTGAGCACCCGACTATGTTTTGATCTTGAGCGCATCCCTGGCTTTGTGTGTGTGTGTGTACGATTGGTGTGCAAGTCACACATTATGTTTATATGTATGGGTTGGAGCAGAATGAGTGCGTAAGCCTGCAGGTTGAGCGTGGTGTGTACACCTAGTGTATGCGGGCAGGTGTGCACGTCTGGGGTTGCGTCTGCCTGCAGTGTGCATGTACAGCGTCATTTGGGGCTGTGCACGCTCATTCGGCATGTGTGTGTTTGCCTGTGCACACGGATTCGTTTGCCCACACAGGCTCTGCGTGTGAGCGTGCATGTGCGTCCTGGGAGAGGGCTGCCTCTGCCAGTGCAGACACCCCAATCCTGGGGCCGTATCACGGGAGGCAGCAGTGGCGGGGGACCGACCTCCGCCAGCTCTCCGAGCAGCTCCGCGACCTCTCCCAGCTGCGTCTCCGAGGCAGGCCCTGAGACACCGCCGAACTGGACAAGGACGCATCTCTTCCTGCCGCTTCACTAGGGGGGTCACTGCTGCAGGAAGGGGCCCCAAGGCCCAGGTCCTGGAGATACTCGCTGCCCCGAAGGGCCCCCAAGTCCGGGCCGAGGTCCTCCGCGCTGTCATCCTCCTGCAGGCCGGTGGGGGGAGGGCATTGACCGAAGGCAGCAGAGGACCTGCCCGCCCCCTCCCGCCAAGCCTGGGCTCAGAGCCCTTCTCCTAGCAGGTAGGGTGGAATGGGAGAGAGTCCCCCAGCGCTCTGCCTCACCTAGGTCTTTAAGGCCTTATTCCAAAAGAGAGGCTGGAGGTCTGGGCTGCAGGACCGGACTTGAATCCCTCTCCTCGCCCACTTCTCCCCATTTCCGGCCCTGCGCCCTCCACAGAGTGGAGTCTGGAACATCTGAGCTGTCAGTGCCTCCAACGCCTCTCCCTCCCCCACAGGTAGAAGCCACAGCTCCTTAGCACGAAAGGGTCCAGGGTCAGCCGCCTCCTGCTTCTAGCCCCTCTGCAACCTCACGGTCTTTCCCACCCACCCACCAGGCCAAATAGTGCCAGGCACCGTTAGACACCAGATACACAGATGTGTGTCCCTAATCCCACAGCAACTCCACCAGGGGGCACTGTTACTCTACTTTCTAGATCAGGGAGGACCAAGGACTCGCTCAGGGCCACACAGTCAGGAAATGGCAAAGCTGGACTCAAACTCAGGTCTGTCTGGATCCAGCTCTGTGCTCTTCCTGTTACTCGCCGCTTTCTAGTTCTCTTCCTCTGCTTCCTTTGCCCTTCCGTCTCTCCCTCCCAGTCATTCTGTCAAATTTTCCAGCCAGGGCACCTGCTTTTTTCCTCTCCTTGGAGAACAGTTTCTCTTAGCCTACCCGGAGTCAGCCCAGCGAACTCCTATTCACCCTTCAAAACCCAACTTGGGCGTGCCCTCCAGGCTATTATCTCGACTCCTTGAGCTTAGGTAAAGTGTCCCTCTGTTCCTTTCCGGGCCTTTGTTAGCACTGTCCCTGTGTAGGGCTTGGTGGGTTAGCGGGTGGGTGGGCCTCTCCCACTGCCTCACGCAAAACCAACACTGAGGCATGGCCCCAGGCGTCCAAGTGATCTCAGGAAGCCCTTGATGGACTGTCCCAGCCGGTGGCTCGAAGGTGGCCCCCAGGATAGGATCGCAAGATCAAATACAGGACATCTGGTTAAATTCGAATTTCAAATAAACAACGAATAATTTTTTTTAGTATAAGTATATCCCAAATATTGTACTATTTGACGTTCAGATATAACTGGTGTCCTGTAATTTAGTTTGCTGGATCTTGCAACCCTACCCCTGGCCCATTCTCCGAGGCATGGCTCGTCTTTACCAGGTGGGGGCGAACAGGGGTTCCTGCTAAAGCTCTGCGCGGGGAATTTTCAAAGACGTTTCCAATTTCAGGTGGAAAAGACCTGCCAGCTAACAGCCAGGCAGTTGATCAGCCGCAGATCTTGGTGGTACCAGTGTCCGGCCTGGTCTCGGAATGAGGAAAAAGTCGTTATGCAGCGTCCGGCCCCACCGGCTCAGAGCGCTCTACGATTCCGGCCCCTCTCACTTCTCTTTATCGTGGTGAATCCACGTAATATAAAACTCAGCGTTTTTACCATTTATGTATTTACAGATCGATGGCCTTAAATGCATCCACTTTGCTGCGTAAATATCGCCCCCGTCCGTCTCCAGAACTTTCTCATCTTCCCAAACAGAAACTCTGTCCCCATTAGACACCGACTCCCCATTTTCGCCTCCTCCAGCCCCCGGTAACCTTTGATCCACTGTCTGTCTCTACGAATTTGGCTTCTCTAGGCACCTCCTGTAAGTGGAACCAGACAATATTTGTCCTTCTGTGTCTGGTTTATCTCACTGTACGTAATGTTTTCAGGGTTTATCTGTATTCTAGCATGTATCAGACCTTCATTCCTTTTTAAGGCTGAATGACATTTCGTGGTACGGATGTAAACAAAGCCACGTTTTTTTTTTTTTAATACAGTCATCTGCTGATGGAGGCTTTTGTTGTTGCTACCTTTTGGCTATTGTGGATACTGCCGCTTTGAACATGGGTGTGCCCTTGTCGGCCGAGTCCCCGCTTTCGACGTCCCTGTGTCGATACGCGGAAGTGGAATTGCTGGATCATAGGGTGATGGTACGTGTGGCTTTCTGGGGACCTGCCGTGCTGTTCTCCCTTCGTCTGGAATCTCTCCCTCGTGCCAATGACCTGTCTCCCTCCTCCTCCTCCTCCGCCCCTGCTTCCTCCTCTGTCCATCATACACCAGGGTCCCTCTCCTTTAGTCTCTGTCAAAATACCTGCCTCTGGCCCCGCTGGCCTGGCTGGCCTTCCTGCGACCCCTCCAGCCTCCTTTCTGATCTGACCTTTCCCCCCCGAATCGCTCCAGTCCCATCCCTGGTGCCTGGACAAACTCTGCCGATCTGTCTCCTCTGTCACTGCCTAAAAGTTTTCCTTGTGTCTCTGGTTTTCATCCTTCTATAAATATAAACATGTCAGGACAGGCTCTTGGCCTGGGCTGCCCGCCCCCCCTCCGCGTTCCCTCTCCTGCATCTGGCCTCCCTCACCCAAGGCAGAAGCGGGAACCTGGCCAGAGCTGGGGGGAGTGGAGTCGGGGGCAGCTGTGAGCACAGGCTGTCCTAGCTCCCTGAAGCAGGTACACCAAGGGAGGGAGTGGCAAGGGGCTTTGCTGGGGAACTTGTACCCTTTGCCAACGTTTCCTGGGTGAGACAAGGTGGGAACTGGCCCAGTGGGGGCCTTTCCAGGCATCTGACTAAACACCGTACGCTGGTCCTGACGCCCCAGAGAGGATGCGTCAAAACCAGGCTCCCACTCCCTGGACCCTGGGGATCCTGGGGGGGTGGGCTCCCTGCTCAGGCCCAAAGGCGAGATGTTTTAGGAATTTCCACTCTGCAGACGGGCTCACTCCATGCAGATTTAAATACTACGTGGATAAACTTTTTTTTTTTTTTTAAACGATGTAAACAGCTTATTTATCTCATCATCTATTCAGGAAAAAAATAGCACACCAGAGAAACTCCAGCACCCTGTCCTCCTGAAGCTAAGTGGAGGAGACTGGAGATTAAACCCTGCGATAATAATCGAGCGTGATAGAATATTCCAGGAAGGGGCTGAGGGGTGCCAGCTGACCCTGTCCAAAGAGACGGGAATTCCGGATTGAAATTTTACTTAGAAAAATCTCTTTTTTAAAAGTACATTGGTGTGAAAACCTACTAAGTACAACTTCATTTAAAAAAAGTCAGACAATCTTTGGACATCTTCCACAGCCAAAACAAAACCCCAAACACCCCCATTTCCAACCACATAAAAGAGTCTCCACGTGACATGTAAATGATTTCTTGAACTGGCCCTATCGGTCAAAGTTCATGCATTTAAAAATAATCCACACCTTAACGGTTTGTAGACTTTCAATAAAGAGTCCTACTCAGTGTGAAATAAAGGAAAGAAGAGAAGAGAGAAGAAAAACAAAGAAAGAAATGGGGCGAGGGGCTTCCTGGAGGAAGTGACAGCCAGCGAAGCCCTGGGGAGTGAACAGGAGCTGGCTGGCCAGAGGCTGTTAGCGAGGGCATTTTGAGCAACAAGAGAACAGGATGTTCAGAAGCCCGCAAGCCTGAGCACTCATGGTGCCTTCCAATAACTGGCAAGACTGCCTCATGGCCGGAGGCGGGGGGCGGGGCAGGCAGTGCGGCCTGCTCAGCAGGCCTGGGAGGCCTAGTGAGGATTTAATTTCTGAGCTGCAGGTGGTGGTGGTGGTGGTGGTGGGTGGGGGGTTCAGGGCTGCAACCTGAAAGATTGTGGAAGATGCAGAGCTGAGATGGGCTTGGCCGGGGGCAAGATGGAGGCTGATGGGGCAGCGAGGGTGTCTGTGCAGATCACCAGGGAGCGCAGGCGTGGTGGCCTCCACCAGGGCAGTGGAGACCGAGGGAGAGATATGGACAGAACTGCGGGCTGCGTAGGTGCGGTGTTCACAGGGCTCGGGGTTAGACGGGGGAGGGACAGGGCAAGGACGATGGCTTCCATCGCCTCCAGCCCTGGTGACCAAGGGGATGACACAGGTGGAGGGGCTGAGCCTCGCCGCACAGCCCAAGGTCTCCCACTCCCAGGCGCACAGCCCCTTCACCAGCATCTCATCTGCCCGACTGCCCGCAGCCCCTGGGTCCTGCTCAGGAGGTCCAGCGCCCTGGAAGGACCCGTAACTGGACTTGCGAACCAGTCCTGTCTTTGTTTAACCTGGATCCTTCCTGATACTTGGGCCAGTCTGTTCCCTGCTCAGGCTCCGCTGTCCTCTCCTGTAAAATGACAGGCGGATACACAGAATGCCCTACAGGGTTTAACCGTAACAGACCCTCCCTCCTTCCTTAGAGTGGTGGGCAGTGTCAAATGCCACCCGGGCCCCCCTCCAGGGAGGATGTGCTGCCCCAGATGTTGGAGGGGCTGTTGGCAGATGGCCATCAGGCCCCCGCTGGGAAGTCACACTCCTTCCTGGGCAACTCATAGGCCACGATAGATTGATGTGGTGGCATAAAGGCTTGGCCATCTCTGCTAGGCTTGGGACCACTCTGCAGGGCTGCTCTAGCCCAGAGCTCCCCGTGAGAGCTTCTCCTTCCCTTTTCATCCTTCTGCCTATCTACCCGCTCACCCATCTAACCACCCTTCCATCTTCCCTTCCTTCCTCCCTCCCTCCCTCCCTCTTCTCCCTTCCTTCCTTCTATCCATCATCCATCTGTCTGTCCATCCATCTGTCTCTCTGTCCATCTTCCTTTTCTCATCCATCCATCCATCCATCCATCCGCCCACCTTCTAGTCATCTTTCCCTCCCTCTTGTGGCAGGAATTCCAGTTCTCTCATCTGTAACACAGGATAATAACTACTTTGCCAAGTTTCGGTGAGGTTCCCTAAGATGATGCACACAAAGTGTCTGGCGAAATGCAGGTGCTAAAGGACGTGTACTTGCTGCTACCGCTGTCATCTGCCCCGGCCCATTTCAGCAGTCGGACACTTGCCTGCTCATCCGCCATGGCGGAGAAGAAGTCCAGGTCCTCAGGCCTCCAGGGTCCACCG